GATAAAACCAATCTGGTTTCTCGCCCCAACTTCTCCAGCACTTTTTCTTGCCAACGGATGACCCAGGTCTCAGATGATATGCCCTGGCCATCCCCTGCTCCTGCTAGAACCAGAAAATCCATCATCCAAGGTCCTCATTCCTTCCCTGTGGCTCTGAATCTGGGGAGAAGGCTGGTCTCAGGGGAAGTTTCTCAACAGGCATGGCACACAGTGCTCTGGGAAGGGCAAAGGCAAGGGCAGGCAAGTGAGGAATGAATGAAGGGGTCTGACCCTGGCTGCATGGCCCTCACCTGTGCAGGAGACACAGGCCCTGGACACACTGGACATGGGCTGTCCGTCTTGACTTCCTTCTGAGGTCTCATACATCCTATTGTTGACTAGTTGACTCGTCCCTTCTAGTCCAGAGTAAGGGAAAATGTCACTCCCTTCTTAGTCTTTCAGTGGCTCTCCAGTGCTTCAGGAGAAAATGTAATCACTTTGCCCCTCAAGTGATCTACAATCCTGTCCCATCCCTCCCTTCCTGGGTCCAGGGCACACTCTGTGGACACTCCTCATCCGCACTGCCCATCCCTACAGGTGGTCAGGCTTCCCCACCAGTCCCTTCAGAATGCTGCTCTCACCTTCTATTCAAAGTCTGTCTCCTCTGAACGTCTCCACATCTCTTTCATGGCACCCACTGTTTTTGCTTTTGTTTTTTGGTGGGACTGGGGTTTGAACTCAGGGCCTGATGCTTGCTAAACAGTGTTCTACCACTTGAGCCACCCCACCAGCTCCACTCACATTCTTTTATCATGATTTTACAGTCACACTGATCTCTTCTGCTAGACTCTAGCTCCTTGAGGGCAGGGTACTGGGGATTCTTTTCAGTTAAATGTGCAGAGCCTCAGACACATACCTAAGCGCTTATTAAACACCCACTGGCTCCAGAAATGAACAACCCCCCAGAATCAGGTCAGGCCACCCAAACCCCTTATGTAAGTAGCCAAGTCAAAAATAGGACAAGCAGTTCTAGGCATGCCTGCTTATAATCCACCAGTATGATTAAGCCAAGCTGTGGGAATGCTAGCCTGGCCTTACACTTATTGGGAGACTTACACTTGCTAATCTCAGAAGCGACTGGAGTCACAGCCTGAGTGTGTGGTCTCTACAGGGCCCCCTCCCCTCCCCAGAGCTAGGAATCATTTCTTGTGTTAGAACAAGGAGAGGCAAAGAAAGGGGATCCACAAGTACTTCAGTGCCCAATTCCTAGGATGAGGTTGGTGATATCCTTCTGCCACCATCCTACATCCAAGCTTCACCTGTATTCTTAATATACAAACCTTTTCAGCCCCCAAAGCCACCTTTGAGAATGTAGAGCCCAGCCAGACCATCTCATTAGTTAATGAATTAGGGTACTGATGGTTAATTCAAACTTATTGTTATCATCAGGTATATCTCATAAACACTTGATTACTTAACGCATTCAAATCGAAATAAAAACTTCAATTAAAGTGAACATTCACTGCTACCATTTAGGGTCTTAAAAAACTAAAGAAAACAGAAAGTAAGAGGGAGAGAAAAAGAGAAAGCACTCAGAAGGGCCTCCTACGGGGCAAACTTCTAATTAAACAAATTGTCAATTTCAACACAATGAAAACTGATTTAGGAGTGTAAATTTAGTATTCTAGTCACTGAAAATAAGACTTCGTCTTGTAGATCTCCACAGGCTGATTTCATCTGATAGGGAAATGAAGAGGAGAAGAAGATGACAAGGAGAGAAAGGGGGACTGGTACAGAGGCAAGATAAGCTGGAACCATTTCTTCCTTTCATAAATAACATCTCTGCAGAGTTCAGTGTGGCCTTCTCTCCAGCCTCAGAGAACCTCTTTTCTTGCCTCCTTCTTACCCCCACCCCTACCAGATTAGAAAAAAAAAATTAATGGTGTATGATGACAAACTTGGCTCGGTACTCACTGTACATACTGTACCCACAAGCTGGCTTACAGCCAGGCTTGGCTCAGCGCCAGGACTACAATAACAAACACAGGCAGTACTAGCCAAGAGGGGGTGGAGCAGGCAGCACTGAGGAGCTAGAGGAGGGGAGGGGAGCTCAGAGCAGCTCCACAGAGCAGAAGCAAATAGCAGGGTTGTGCCTGTGCTAGGACAGCAGCAAAATTCAGGGAGCAACCAGGACCCCTGCTCAAATCCCAGACTTGCTTTCCTATAGCATGATTTTTTTAAGAGAATAAAATGATCCCCTGGGCTCTGAAGCAGTTATTGTTCTTCAAGGCTCTGCACTGCTGCTCTAACACTTTATCGTCCGTTAAATGGGTCTGCGCTACAGATATTTAGGGTCTCTTTCCCTGTCAGCTCCTTGCATGGAGCAAGCAAATCTCATGTCATCTCATTAGGTGTCTTCTAAAACAACAGACTTCTGTTATCAGGCATCTGGGGGCTGGAATCAGAATGTGTAAAATCATTACTGGAACCTTTGAGAAGACGTGGCACCACCAGCTCAGCCCTTCAGACCCTAACCCCCAACAAGGCCAGGTCTCTGCAGGAGCCTCCAGGGGTGGTCAGTGTTTAACAGGAAGTGATCTAGCCTACTTACCCTTTGTGTTATTTGATTTTCAAGACATTCCCATACAGGGGTGAGAGGTATACAGGGCAACAGGAAGAAAACATAAAGATGAGAAGTCTCAGATGGTAGGCTTTGAGCTACATGCAAGGGTGAATTCGATCAGTACCATGACTCATCATACCTGTCCCATCACAAAATCCTCCTTCACAAGTCATTCACAAGTGACCCTCAGAGGAACAAATAATATGACACAGTGATAATACAATAGGCATGGAAAGAGGAAACTAGGAAAAGAGGACCCAACTCCCAAAGCCTCTGAGGCATCCAGATCAAACTATGGGGCCTTCAACTATCATCCCAGGCAAGACAGATCGCACTTCCCCAGAATTTGCCAGTCCTCAGGGGAGTGGTGCAAAGTCACTATCATGTCTGAACTGGGGATATGGAACTCATTTGAAAGTCTGAAATCAGCTGCTCTCCTCTCTGCCACAATCACCAACACTGTGGCCATGAGCCTCATAGCAGAGACAAGTGACTAATACACACTTGCTACCATTGTTTGGAAGAGAGGTACAAGAGGGGGATCCTGGCTGTCCTATCCCACCAAGCCCTTCAGCCACGAAGGTTTCCTGCTGCAGGAGAGACCAGGCAGGAGCTTGGAGCCTAGATGAGTTGTTCATCTACCTTCCAGGTTGCACTCATTCATTCAGCAATAATCACTGACTCCACTAAGGTGCCAGGCAATGTGCCAGACATAATGGGGACCTATGCTGTGCCCAAGTAATTTACAGTCTGTTAGAGGAAAGGGAAAGAACTTACACTTCCTGTGAGCACGTAACATGACAGGCACAGTGCTAAGGATGCAGCATGAGTTTTATGATTTCTGTGCATATTTTACACACGAGGATGCAAAGGCTCAGGAGCCTAAGGTCACATCATCAGGAGGTGGGTGCCCAAGTTTCTTCCACCATCTCGCCCTGCCTCCCAAGTAGAGACGATAAGGCAAGTCCCTAAATAACCAGAACACAAAGAAAAAAAGACCGTGCCTAAAGACAGCTTTGGATAAGGAAATACGGGCATTCAGAAGAAGGCATAATTGCTTCTCAATGGAGGTGCAGAACGGTTGCCGGTAACATTATGGATAAGACCTTGGAAGATAGGAGAGGCGTTCTTCTAAGTAGACAGAATGGGGTGAACAAGGCAATGGGGCTCAGACGCAACAGGCATATGAAGTTAAATGGGCTCTGCAGTCACTGAAGTGAAGCCATTTACACAGCCTTACACAACTGTACACACAAATGGGCTGGAGGTGGACAGGATGCAGACAGCCCACCAGGAGAGATGCTTCTGCAGTTAGGTGACAGGAGCCCCAGCGTGACAGCCTCAAAGGTAGGAAAAGGGAGGAAGGTACAAACAGCTATTTAAGTCTATTAAATACCAATTGTATGCCAGGGCCTTGTTATGGATTCTTTTAACATATATCTTGTCACCTAATTCTCAAAAAAATTATGAGTCCGCAAACCTGCACTTGACAAGATAAAGAAACTGGGGTTCACAAGAAAAATCTGGCCACAGTCACACACTTAGCACATGTCACAGAATAGAATTTGATTCTTCATTTGCCCAGTCCCAAAGTCCTTGCTCATTTCACAAATGCCAAACTGCCTAGAGGACCAGTTGCTTGAGGCAAAATGGAAAAAGAAGACACACAAATAAGAAGGTAGCCTGCTCTTCTTCCTAAAATGCAACTCTAAAGTTGAAAGGCAAGGTTCTTAGAGGGAAAATAATGTAACCCTACAGGGAGTGTTGGAAACTCTACAATTAAAAGGCAGGCAAGCCCTCAGCTTGGGGCCACAGTCAGACCTGGGGGATCCTTCCTTTCACCAAGCACACCCAGGCATGCTGAATGTCACGGGCTTCTCCCATCTCCACGCCTCATGGGGCAGAGCAGCTTTACCCAAACATGAACAAAATTACCAAGAGCCACACAGTCGACCCTACTAGTATTGGATAAAATTAACTTGCAAAAGACAGCATGCTATAACTAGCTTTGTGTTCCAACCTTTCTATATCTATTTAATTAAAGGCTCCTGTATAATGTGAACCCAACAGTCAGATTCATTAGATAGCGACAACCTAATTCGGCAACTGTTTTGCTAATGAAACTGCAGTCAACTCTGGAAGGTAGATCACACAGGGCATGGGTGCCAACGATGCCCTGGGAACCCCAGGGGAGCATGAGGATCGCTTCATCTGATGGGCACACTGTCAGGATGGCTTTTCTGCTCCATGAACTTGGAGGGAGGCTCTAGGAACAAGGTAGACCAGGGCCCTGATTGGCAGGGGGACATCCAGGCCACAGCAGGCTCTGAGTTGGGGGTGAAGGGGGACAGGAGGTAGTGGCCTGTGCCCAGTGGGCCATTAAAACATCCTTGCCTACCTGAATGAGCCAGTAAGTGCATTCTCAGTCGCAAACTATCCAGGAACCGCTTTCCGCAGAGCTCACACCCGTACGTCTTCATCCCACTGTGCAGCTTCCTGTAGGGGAAAGGAAAAGACAGGTTGCTGCTGCTCTGGCTGGACAAAAGGCAGGCCCAACCTACCCGGGGGTTTTGCAGGTGAACAGGGGAAGAAGATGGGAGTCATGTCCTGAATCCTTGGACAGCCTTTATGGCCCCCTGTGGCTATGGACTGCTGCATCCATTCCTAGACTTGTCCAAGGAAAAGAATAGGGCACTTCCTACTGATTTGTTTGCAAGCAAACCAAGGAAAAATCAGATCTGATTTTGCGGGCAGGAAGGAAACAAGAACCCAGGACAGTCAGACAGACATAATGCTCACTGTCAAGCTAGCGCAGATCACAAGCGAAGGCCCCCTGCCCTCTGCTTATCTTGGGCAATACTGCCCCCACTGTGCTGCAACTCTGCCCACATCTGACTCCTCGCCTCCCACCAGACTCAGGAAGGTTGCCCATGTGTCCTACCTCTTTCCCGCCTCCCACGCCCACCACAGTGACTGGCATTGAGGAGGCTCTGAATAAGGAGCTGATGTCTTCATGAATACAAGACACTTCTCTCTCAGGGCACCCAGGTGTTCTTAGAATGGCAGTGACCCCAAATACACACTTCCTTCCCCTAAGGCCCCCAGCTTTAGAGTTGTCTTCCATCTCTGCCTTGCCCCAACAGATAGAAGGGTTTCAAGAAACTGGGTAAGATCATTCCTAACAGAGGGGGTAGTAGTCATTTTTTGGCTTTCCCACATTATCACACTTTGTCATCGCTAAGATTCTGTGAAATGGGCTAGGCTATATTTTTACGTTGAATAACTGGTCACAGACCAAGAATATAATAGGGTTCCCTCCAATCCCAACTTCCCTTTCCCATCAGACCCCTTACTCAGTCATGAGCCAGCAATAGAGTTAATAAGATGCAAGGAACTGAGCGGGCCAGCCAGCAGGAAGCTGAGCACTGGGGGCTGGCTCTAAGCTGCCAGTTGGCCCCAAAATGCTGACTTTTCTCCCATACCCACTCCTGTTTTCAGGCCCGTATTGCCACTGCCAGATCCAGGATCCAGCCTTCATCTCTGCCCCAGTCTCTACGCCATCACTGCTGCTGCCTGTAAGGAACAGAGCAGGCAGTGGCAGGATCTGTGAGTGGTGGGGCAGGCAGGAGATTTCAGAGCTCTCTGAAAGCCAATACCCTCCTGAAATCAGTATGTTGATGTGTTAGGACCACAGTAAAAGGCTGGCAAGCTGGTGCTGATATCAGATAAAACTGCACATGGGCTGAAGAGCTATTATGCACTCTTGTCAGAGTCCAGATCATGACAATGACCCCAAGCCACCCATTGCTACCAACTTTCAGTTCCCATACTGATGTCAGTAGTCTACCCAGGTGAGCCTCCTCAGCACCATAGCTCATGGGCCACTGTGGCTTGGGGACTACATAGGATCCAATGTCTACAGGCTTCTAATAGAGATCACATAGTTCTCTTTGCAAAACTCTTTCTCAATCATATTGTTTTGTTTGGTGCTTTCCTTGTACCCCTTGCCAACGATAGATGATTTCTCAATACAAGCATATACACACACACACACTCATCCACAACATTGTAGGGCACCCCACCCCCATGTTATCTCACTCTTGGCCATGGCTGATCCAACCAAATTGAGAAATAGTAACAGTACAGAACATTTTAACTGAACATTCTTAACTCTAAATATATTTCACAATGCTGAGTACTGGGACATGTCCTGATAATGTCTGTGTCAAAGTGTGTTTTAAAATATGTGCCCAGGTGTGTATGTGCACATGCATGTGCGCATACACATATAGCAATGGTACATTCCTGTCCCATGCCCAGGCATGATGGATGTTTGCTTTACTCAGAGATGTTCTATGGAAGGGCAAAGACTGTGTTCAGGAGTGGTTGGGCTGGTGAACTCATCTATAATCACGGTAAGGTTTGGTGGATGGCGATGTATGGGTTATAGTTTATTTTCATCCTTTTCTTCACTGGTGTTTTATTAGTTTCCAAGGGTGCCCACATCAGTTGGGAATGGGGGACTGTCAGGAGGAACAAGAAGACAGACACCTATTTGGACTTGTCTTCCAAAAGGATTCTGGAATGACCTGTCTTCAGATTTGAGGAGCCACCCTCAGCTAAATTTCCCTCTTGGGCTGCCATCTCTTCTCTCTGAGGGTTTCATCATACCCCTCTCATCCTATGAATACTCTTGAGTAATGCCATTGCCTTTCCCCTAGATTTGAATGGATTTGCTTGGCAACTGTTGGAAGTGGCTTTTCTTCCAGTGGCCAACTGGATTGGTTCAATGTGAGAGGTCATGAGAGCTTGCCCTTTTCCTACAGAGGTAACAGGGCACAGGGAAGAACACCCAGCGAGCAGCCAGAAGAGCTAGATTATCATCTTGACTCAGCCACTAACTTGTTTTAAGAACTTAAACAAGTCCTGCTGTAATAATCCCTCTACTATTTTCTCAATTTTTAAGTGATGTGAATGGTATGTACAATGTTGGGTGGAGAAAAAATTTATTATTCAAAAGTCTTACCCATGTCCTTTTTCCAAGCAGTTCCTCCAAGGGGCACTTTCATGCTCCCTGAGCCAAGCCCCACTTGTCACTGTGCACTGTGGACTCCTCTAACACCCAGGCCATCAGGCTAGGATAATCCAGGCAAAATTCTAGCCCCGACCCAGCAATCTTAATCATTTAAAACCTTCTAATCCACGTGACCTGAGTTTCCTCCTTTCCTTACTCATAAGGGAGTGGTTCTCAGGAGCCTTGCCTCAGAACTACTCTCTTGCCATGTATTTTCCAGTCTTCAAGAGGTACAGGTGTCCTATCTTGCCTAATCCTTGGGGTAGGAACACTGCCCTGAAACTGACCCACTAACTCAGTGCCCCCACACAAGTTCCCAGAAGCGAGAATGGCACCCTGACAGTACACATTAAGTGCAAGGACAAAGGTCCTACCCTACTGGCAGAGAGAGCCAGGTAAAACACACAAAGTTCAGCAGAGGAAAACGGAACAACTTCACAGGCCTGACCAAGATTCAATGGAACCAAGCAAAGGTTTGCTTATAGCTTTAATGATTGTTCACATAGTAAGGAAGGAAGAGTTTAGAGAAATGGAGGCTTGTCCTTTTTCAAAGAAAAAGCAAACAGCAGAGAAGAAATAAGTGCATTCCATGGGCATGGCTACCCCCAGACTCTTAACACACAGTTCATAGAAGAGCCAATCGAATTCCAACTGGTTTCTGGAAAAAAAGTACAACTTTTGTTTGAACTCATGGTTATTCTCCTATAGACCATAACCTCCCAAAACCACTGCAGAGATTTAGATCAAAATAGAAATCTTGTCTACTTTCTTCCTTCTTACCACCTTCAATACATCTTCTCGGTCTGGTCCTGTCTCCTCACAAGGTCTAACTGCTCATGGCCATCTAAGATAATCAGCCTCCACTGTAATATAGGGAAGGAGGACATCTGGGGACATTTTGTACTTTTCTGTGTACTGGCTTGGTTGATGATGGTGTTTTCACGTTCTTTTCTCTGAGAGGAAGCCATATTGCTGACACCATTTTGAATGTAACCTGGTTTCAGCATGGCCCAAACATTACCCCATGCTCAGGAGAGAATCCATTTCCCCCATATGTTTTAGGTTCCCACTATTTATTCTTGGAGAGTATGGTCACCCCTAATGGTGGCAACATTAGGTAACCTAATGTCCAAAAGGACAAAAAAATTAACCCCTATCCAGGCTCTATCCATATTATCAAGAAAGTTGAATCATGAGAAATTAGAGCTAAGCAAATCTGACTCTCTTAAGAAGTAACACAAGGAAAAGACCCACTAATTCTCAACCATGCAACTCTCACAAGACGGCCAAGTACAAGTTCATCTTCTGAACCATTTCTGTTCTGCTGCAAGTCTGAAAATCCATACATTCTGTCTAGTTTAGGATGAAAACTCCTCATGACGAAGTCATGTGTGTATTTCCTTTTCTTCAAAAGACTTAGTTTAAAAGAGATTGCTCAACACTGCTAAAGAAACCCCTCTAGACAAAGTGGAGCCTAGGACATTCCTCTACTCATCCTCACAATACTCTAAGTACAAAAGCTTCAATCCACAATTGGATCTTGTCCTGTGGCTCCTGAAGTCTAGATAAGGAAGGTCAATGTCAACTTAATAGCAGCATGAAGGCTGAGCTTTAGATCAACCTCCTATCTTCAGGATAAAGCTTTATCAACCCAGCACCAGCAATAGGATTGGCAGCAAGGTGACCCATACCAAGTCCCATCCTTCCTACCTTCAGTCTCCAGAGACAACTAGCCATAACACCTGCTCCCTAAGGTTGTCTTCTATCAGTACTTTCTGTAGGAAAGGCTCAGCAAAGGACCATGCAGCCAAGGACCCAGGAGACAAGGCCAGGAGAAGGGCTCACCACACCAGCAGGTACCAAGGGGAAAAGGCCAGCAGCACTGGCTGGAACACAGAGAGAGGTTCAAGGCCCAGCACTGCCAATGCCACATTTCTTCTCAAGTTCATCTGCCCAAAGACAAATGGCAAAGTTAGAGCAGATCAGCAGGTGGGCAAGGTCTAGGGAAACACTTCTCAATTCCAATAGCCCAGGGGCTGTATTCCCTCACTCTCCTACTAGGAAGCTGATCTGCCTGCCCTTTGGAGTTTTACTGGACAGATCAGTGTCAGACTTGTAATTGGAAAAGTATATAGGAGGGAACTCCACAGCTGGACCACGGATAATATTTTCCTTATTCTCAGCTTGACTGATCCAGCCCCTGAACCAACACTCAGACCAGGCAACAAAGACCAGAAGGTCCTTCCAACTCACCCTATCCTTCATCTGTAGCTATTTCACATGCAGAAGTCTCCCCAGTGCTTACCCTTTTGCCTTCTAATTCCATGACTATCAACTCAACTACTCAGTGCTTCTAAGAGATACTCCAAACAGAAAAAAAAGGACATAGGAGATTCTGTCAAACCAAGGTCTAAGTCACTCT